AGCAAAACACATGTCAATGTCCTCTTTAACACCTTCCACGTTTTTTTGCTCCTGGGTATATGAACTAGCTTTGGTGGCTGCATCGTGCATGAGAGAATCAGGGAAGTATCTTTTGGAAAAAAGTTTTAATGTATTTGGATTTACATATATATATATATATATATTGATTAAATATAAGATTTTCGGTGTATCCAACAAAGAGGTTGGCAAGGATGGGGTCCATTTTAGTCCCCATAGCGACTCCTCAGATCTGTTTGTAGATAGTTACCATTAAAAATATAGGCACTAACTGTGAGTACAAGTTCGGCTAAACGTAGAAGTATGTGTGTTGGAGGGTCCAGTATGGATCTTCGGTCTAAGAAATGTTTTAGTGCAATTAAACCCTCATTGTATGGGATAGATCTGTACAATGATTTTATATCGATGGTGAAGATGTGTGTTCTTGATTAAAGTAATGGCATGAGTGGGGTCCTTTATGTGTGTCTGTAATTTCATGACAAATGGTGATAAGACTTCGTCAAGGTAATTTAAAATTTGCTCTGTTGGACAACTGCATGCAGATATAATGGGTCGGATTGGATGTCTATCTTTGTTGATTTTAGGGAGAAGATAGAAAGTGGGAGTTCTAGGTTCATTTACATTGAGATTCTTGACTGTAGTGGGCCAGCATCGATCATACCTTCAAATGTAGATGTTACTAGGTTGTTGAAGTCATAAATTTGGTTGTCTTGAAGAGTGGTGTAGAAAGTACTGTTGCTAAGTTGTCTCAAAGCTTCAGTTATATATAAATCCTTGTGCCAAACTACTATAGCTGCACCTTTGTCTGCTGGTTATGTAACAATGTCGTCTCTTTGTTGTAGACTATTTAGAGCCAATTGTTCATCGTGAAAGATATTTTTAGATTTAGTCTTCAGGTTTAAGTCTAATTTGTTGATTTCATTCTGACACTTATGAATGAAGTAATAAAGTGCGATGAACTCACCGGTGGGTGGCATCCATGAGGAATGCTTGGAAGAAGGGATCACAGGAAGGGGTAATTTTAGAAGAATGGGTTTCCGAGATTTTGGGAAAGTGGGTTTTCAGTCTTAATCTTCCATTGTGGAAAAGGCATCGACATTACTTTTGATAGGGACAAATTTAAGTCATTTATTAAGGATATTACGTTCATTAGGAGAGAGTTTCAAATCACAAGGAACTGTGACAACCTGAATGGTTTCCTACATTTTTGAAATATTAGAAGAGGGAGTAGTAGTTCCTGGGGTGTTGGCTTCAAGTGAGGGGATAGTGGTTGTATTCTATATAAATATGTCTGAGACCTAACCTATAAAATTAAAAGATTCGCCTCTTTTTGCGAGGCGAGCTAGCGAAAAACCGCATAGAAAAGAATATGTGTCTGCCATGGCTACAACAGCAAAGAAGCTACAAATCTGAAATTTTGCACCAATACTAAGCGGACCCTGAGGGTTTGCACCTGGGTATTACTTATCTTATCCACCTGTGCATCTTTTTATGCGAAAAACCACATAGAAAAGAAATGTGAGTGCCATAGCTCCAAAAGGAAAAAACCTAGAAACCTGAAATTTTGCACAGATACTAAGTGGACCCTGAGGGTATGCACCTGGGTATTACTTATTTTATCCACGTGCGTACGTGCGTGCACATCTTTTTAATGAGACAGACTAGCGAAAAACCACATAAAAATTACAAATAGAAATCACATACTTACAGAAAGACAGACACACACGTGCATGTCTGTGTGTGTATGACTGCCAT